AGATGAAAGATTTCATTTGCAACAACATGGATGAAATTTAAGGGTGTTTTACTAAATAAAATAAATCAGATAGAGGAAGACAAATATCCTTTGATCTCACTCATATGTGAAATAGAACAAACAAACAAGCAAAGCTAGTAAATGAGCACTCCAAAGAAAACAAGATCTAACATGCAGGTACAGAGAACAGTGTTCTCTACATGAGGGAAAGGGGACTGAGGGCAGGGTGAATCACTTAAAGGGGATCGACATTATCATGATGAACGGGAACTGAAGTTGTGATTCAGAGTGCTCTGTCCTGTACACAGAAGAAAAAAAAGAAATGTTTGTACACATGAAACTTATATGACATTATCTCAGTGAATGATATATCATTAAAAATAAATGAAAAAAAAATACAGACACATATACATTGGTGTTTTCTAAGATCATTCATCTACTAAAATTGGAAGAAAAAATAAATCATTACTGAATTGAATACCTGTTTTTTGAGATGGCCCTAAGTGGAGCTTTCTCTGTACCCATGTCTTTTGAAATGTGACACAGAAGCACCTTTCATTAGGAAGAGGTGTCTCTTTCTCTACCTTTATATCTGGGCTAGACTTAGGATTTTTATTTGCTTGAGCCCAAAGAATTCTAGGTTCATCAACCTCATCAGAAGTGACTCAAATGCATTCCTTTTTATGGCTGAGTAATATTCCATTGTGTATATGTACCACACTACTTTATCCACTCATCTGTTGACAGACATCTAGGTTGCTTCCATCTTCTAGCTATTGTAAATAGTGCTGTCGTGAACAATGGGACACATGTGTCTTTTTCAATTTTTGTTTCCTCAGGGTATACGCCTAGGAGTGGGATTGATTTATGTCAGCAAGTGTTCTGTCTATGTTTTCCTCTAAGAGTTAGTGATGGACAGGGAAGCCTGGTGTGTTGCAGTCAATGGAGTCACAAAGTGTCAGACATGATGGGGCAACTGAACTTAATTGAAAGATCAACACTGTGAAGGTGAAAAAATTTATTCCAGAGTAGCATTTCTCTAAATTCACTATTCCTAAAAATTGCCAAGGATTGTAGTTTATTTATCTATTTATTTATTGTTTTTTTCCATTTATTTTTATTAGTTTATTAGTTTTATTAGCTAATTACTTTACAATATTGTAGTGGTTTTTGTCATACATTGACATGAATCAGCCATGGATTTATATGTGTTCCCCATCCTGATCCCCCCTCCCACCTCCCTCCCCATCCCATCCCGCTGGGTCTTCCTAGTGCACCAGCCCTGAGCACTTGTCTCATGCATCCAACCTGGGCGGGTGATCTGTTTCACCCTAGATAATATACATGTTTCAATGCTGTTCTCTCAAAACATCCCACCCTCACCTTCTCCCACAGAGTCCAAAAGTCTGTTCTGTACATCTGTGTCTCTTTTTCTGTTTTGCATATAGGGTTATTGTTACCATCTTGTAACCATATATGTGTGTTAGTATACTGTATTGGTCTTTATCTTTCTGGCTTACTTCACTCTGTATAATGGGCTCCAGTTTCATCCATTTCATTAGACCTGGATTGTAGTTTAAGTTCAAATTATTTTTCAGCAGGTCTGATCAGGGGCCCACAGACCCTTCATTTCTAACAAGATACTAAGTGTTGATGCTTCAGGTCCTCATTTGTGGATCACAGTTTGTGTAGTGAATAAGTGGCCCTATGTTAGATTCAGTTATAGACAGACTTAGGTATTCAACAAAATGTTCCTTGTATATAATTTTGAAAACAATTCAGGGTGTCTTTTGGTTGGTTGTTTGTTTTATTTTCTGTCCACATGGCATGTGAGAACTTAGTTCCCCAACCAGGGATAGAACCCAGTGTCTCCTGCATTGGAAGCACAGATTCTTAATGACTGGACCACCAGGGAAGTCCCCTCCATGTATGTAATTTTGAAAGAGAAGATTTTCACTCATTTTTATAGGTAGCAATAAAGTTTTTGTTGATTTTTATAGAAATATTCTTAAGTGACATAAAATAATTTCTATTAGAAAAAGACTTGCAGTAGGCAGAATAAGATCCTCCAAAAGATGTCCACATGCTAAAAACTTTGGAATATCCTACCTTACATAGCTGGCTTAATTACAATAGCTGATGAAATACAGTCGATCTTGATGTAGGAATATTAGCACAGATATACAGTTTGGACTCATATAATCACAATAGATTTTCTAAATGTGAAAGAGAAAGGAAGAAGAATTGGAGTCATAGATTTAAAATTGTAGGCATCTGGATTTGAAGACAGAGGAAGGACCATGAGTTAAGCGATGCTGGTGACCACTAGAAGTAAAATATTAACAAGATATTGAGTGCATTCTCTCTGCAGCATCCAGAAGGATCACAGTCTTGCAAACATCTATGAGACTTCAGGCTTTTTGTCTCATAGAACTTTATGATAGGTACTTCTTCTAACTTGCTAGTGTTGTAATTTGTTAAAGAAGCAATAGGAATCTAATATAGATAGTTGCCCAATCATATGCTGCTCCTGCTAACATATTATATCTCAGATGGTAAAGAATCTACATGCAATGCAGGATACCAAGGTTCAATTCCTAGGTTGGGATAATCCCTTGGAGAAGGGAATTGCAACACACGCCTGTATTCTTGCCTGGTGAATTCCATGGGAAAACCATGCATGGAGTTAAGAATTAAAATTTTCTGGCTGTGCATTGTTAAGGGTAGTATGTTAATCACACAAAAATTGGTGAGAGACAACTCCTCTAACTGGGAGAGAAGCAAAGGGGCATATATCAATTTAAGAACAGTGAAATTTAAATATAGTAATTAACAGTTGAGAAATCCAGTTTTGTTTGTTTTTCTTATAAAGTCTGTTGTTCAGTCACTAAGTCATGTCCAACTCTTTGCAACCCCATGGACTGAAGCATGCCAGGCTTCCCTGTCCTTCGCCATCTCCCAGATCTTGCTCAAATTCATGTCCATTGAGCCAATGATGGAATCCAACCATCTCATCCTCTGCCACCTTCTTCTCATTTTACCTTCAATCTTTCCCAGCATCAGGGTATTTTCCAATAAGTTGACTTTTCGCATCAGGTGGCCAATGTATTGTTGCTTCAGCCTCATCATCAGGGTTGACTTCCTGTAGGACTGACTGGTTTGATCTACTTTCAGACCAAGGGAATCTCAAGAGTCTTCTCCAGCACCACAGTTGGATATCATCAATTCTTTGGTGCTCAGCCTTTTTTATGGCCCAACTCTCATCTAATCACCATTCATGATAAACTAAAGACTAACCTACTTACATAAAAGTAAGAAATTGACATAAAGTTGTTCAAGACAGAAGACCACTACAACTGCACACATCATCGTGGAGGAGCCTTTAAAACACAAAATAGAGTCTGACAGCTGACAGTAGACCCATGAGGAAACAATCATAACTCAGATCAACTCCCCATCACAGAAACTCATTAGATAAAAGATTCATTAGACTAAATCGTTGCTTTTAGGGTGACGTGCTATGTTGCAACAGCTAACTAATGCTATAGTCCAAGTGAATAGAACTGAAGGAAAGGCAATTGTTGTAATACATGAATAGCATTCATGATTATTATTCAAGTTTATGTCATACAATTTTATTAAAAAAGGATTCCATTTAGGTTTCCTTGTAGGTAAGCAAGAAAGGTTAAAAGGATATGCCTATTTGTGATAAACTTGTGTCTTTGTCAGAGGACTAGATGGGGATTTAAATCTAGAGAGCCATAATTTGGAGATATATATCATATATATAATATCATATATATCATGTACATCATATAAATATGGTATTTAAGTTATTCATTCACAACTCTTTTATTGGTTATGACAGAAATGGAATGGGGGAAATATTTCATCTGGAGAAATGGAAGGAGTCATTTAATTGTAGACAACAATGGAAGTTTTCAAGCAGACTGATATAATTACACCAAAAAAACTTTCATTTCAATGATAAACCCCTTTACAAACAGACACTAAACCACATACATCAATAAATAAATGGACACCATGAAAAAATCACTTGCAAAGATATAATCTGACGCAAATTTTCACTGCTGCTATTGCTGCTAAGTCACTTCAGTCGTGTCCAACTCTGTGCAACCTCATAGACGTCAGCCCAGCAGGCTCCCCCGCCCCTGGGATTCTCCAGGCAAGAACACTGGAGTGGGTTGCCATTTCCTTCTCCAATATTTTTTGCTACATCATACTTACGGCCTTCTCTGACTCTAGGTCTTATTATGTCAAGCTCTTTATTGAAATCTTTGTTTCACATAGATGTCAGTTAGGGACATGCATTTGATGCTCAGTTTTACCAGTAACTCCAGAAAGCAATGTGGACACTGAGCTATTAATAAATAAAGAATAGTACACTGTTAGAGAGTAAAATCAGATGACCATTTATGAAATACAGTATCTGCTATCATCTACATTTTTGGAAAGAGCAGTTATGATAGTGACTTCCCAAGGTATGAAGAACTAAAACATGATAGACTGTAGTTTCATATTTTACTCTTCTATGAAATTATGTAATTGGTTTGGTTTCCAAATTAATTTTTTTTTCCATAGAAGTAGCAAAATTCATGATTATTCTTTTAGTAAAAATAAAGAAAAATTACTCAGTATATAGTATATCATTTCAGAAGAATTTATTCTTAAGAAATGTGTGAAGTCTTATGAGATAAATGGGAATTTACATATATGCCTCACATGAGATTTTGAATCAATTTGAGAGAGCAGAAAAGTGACAAAAGAAAAAACTTAGATAACAGAGAACAGAAAAGTTAATAAAGTATGTTTTTAAAATTGTATAGAGAAGTTGAAATCAAAGAAATGGAAATATCAGGTAATAAATTGAAGAAACTTTTGCTATTATCACAATCTAATCAAAGAGTCACATATCTGCCTATGAGGCTTTGGGCCCTTCTATCATGGTAAGTTCTTCAGCCCAAGGCCAAATGGCTCTTTTATAAATGTTTCCATTTCAAAATAAAAAACCTAAAAAGAGCCCTCTTTATGTCTTTATTTCTCAAACTGTAGATGAAGGGGTTCAGCATGGGTGTGACCACAGTGTTCATCACTGAGGCAATTGCGCTTGCGTGTGAACTGTGGATAGCTGCAGAGCTAAGGTACACTCCTAAGGCCGAACAATAAAATAAGGAGACAACCAAGAGGTGAGATGCACAGGTGGAGAATGCTTTATACTTCCCCTGAGCTGAGATTCCACAGATAGAGCACAATATCTTAGAGTAAGAGTAAAGGATACCAGTAAGGGGAAAACCCCCTTGAATTACAGATCCAAAATACACCATTACGTTGTTGAGAAAGGGGTCAGAACAGGCAAGTTGGATCAGCCATGTGATTTCACAGAAAAAGTGGTGGATTTCCAAGTCTGAGCAGAATGACAGTTGCAGCATCACTAAGCTGTGTAACAAGGAAAACAAGGCACTCATCATCCAGGACACCAGGAAGAGCAGCCCACAGACCCAGGGGTTCATGATGACTGTGTAGTTCAGCGGGTGACAGATGGCCACATACCGGTCATAGGCCATCACAGTCAGGAGGAAGTCATCTAATCCTGCAAATAGTAAGTAAAAGTACACCTGGATGATGCAGCCTTCATAGGTGATTACTTTCCTCTGTGTCTGAGTGCTTTGCAGCATCTTTGGGATGGTGGTGGAGGTGAAGAAGATGTCTACAAAGGACAGGTGGGAGAGGAAGAAGTACATGGGGGTGTGGAGGTGGGAGTCTGAGCTGATGGCCAAGATGATGAGCAGGTTTCCAAACACAGTGATCAGGTATATGGAGAGGAAAAGCCCAAATATGATGGGCTGCAGTTCTGTTTCTTCTGAGAATCCCAGAAGGTGAAATTCTGAAATTTGAGTCTTGGTCTCTGGTTCCATGTGATGGATGTGACTATTGGGAAAAATATATATATATAACATGATAATTTTCACTCAAACTGACATTACTCAAATAGCTAAAATACTCTAATATCCATTTTGATGACAAAAAGTTGATGTTAATATGTTCTATATAGATAAATTCTCCTCAAGGGTATACCTCATTTCACCTCTAACTCAAAATTTTTGCCCCATTTGAGCATATTTCCAAGCAGTTCACATTTTACAGTTTTATTGAGAAACATATTGAGAACATACATATTCTAAGTACCTATACTAGATAAATATGTGCACATATATGGGATAAAATATATCTACATTTGAGACATATTTAAAAACAAATCTGTCACAATCCAAGGATAGTGAAAGATTATATTCAAATAAACATATAATATGCTAGAAGGTGACAGATGTATGAAGAAAACAGAAACATGTGTAAAGGAGGGAGTAGCAGGAGACATCATTTTACACTGAGTGTTCAGGCAAGGGCTGAAAACAAGGGTTTATTTGAAGAAACATTAAGAAAGGAAGAGAAGGACCTAGTGTGATACTAGGAGAAGGCACTCACTAGAGTGAAGGCAAAGGGCACAATCACTGCAAAGGACCTGAGGAAGATGCTGGTTCCACATGTTCAGATCCAAACAAGGAAGCCAGTGGGAGAGAGGAATGAGTCAAAGAAGGAGTGATTAGAGATGTATGAATCACAAGCTGGAATTAAGATTGCCAGCAAAAATACCAATAACCTCAGATATGCAGATGACACCACCCTTATGGCAGAAAGTAAAGAGGAAATAAAGAGCCTCTTGATGAAAGTGAAAGAGGAGGGTGAAAAGGCTGGCTTAAAACTCAACATTTAAAAAACTAAAATCATGGCATCTGGTCCTATCACTTCCTGGAAAATAGATGGGGAAACAGTGGAAACAGTGAAAGACTTCATTTTCTTGTGTTTCAAAAATCACTGTGGACAGTGATTGCGGCTATGAAATAAAAGATGCTTGCTCTTCAGGAAAAATGCTATGACAAACATAGTGTATTAAAAAGTAGAGACATCACTTTGTCAACAAAATTCCATAAAGTCAAAGCTATTGTTTTTCCAGTAGTCATGTATAGATGTGAGAGCTGGACCATAAGGAAGGCTGAGCATCAAAGAATGGATGCTTCTGAACTGTGGTGTTGGATAAGACTCTTGAGAATCCCTTGGATGGCAAGGAGATCAAGCCAGTCAATCCCAAAGAAAATCAACCTTGAATATCCACTGGAAAGACTGATGTTGAAGCTGAAACTCCAATATTTTGGCCACCTGATGAGAAGAGCTGACTCATTGGAAAAGACCCAGATGCTGGGAAGATTGAAAGCAGGAGAAGCAAATGACAGAGGATGAGATGGTTGCATGCCATTATCAACTCAATGGACATGAGTTTGAGCAACCTCCAGGAGACAGTGAAGGACAGGGACTCCTGGTGTGTTGCAGTCCATGGGATCACAAAGAGTCAGACATGACTGAGCCACTGAACAACAATAGGAATGCTGAGGAAAAAGGTGGCCTCCCTGCTACAGCTGACACTTCAGTCCACAGAGAAACCTTCCTTTTATTTTGTTCCCAGCACTTTATGGATTTAGTTGCAAGGATATCCTGTGAATTATATAAGATCCTCTGCTTAGTACCGTCTTTGATTGGGTTCTGACCACTGTCACCTTAGTATGCCAATTTAATATATGATCTCAGGTGCCTCTGCTTTATTTATTTATTTATTTTTAGTTGGATGTACAGAACAGGTGCCTCTGCTTCAAAAAGAGCTGTTCCTATTCCACAAGGCACATGTTCACAGACACAGTATCACCTCCTGAGCAGCTGCTGTCATGAATTTCTTATCCAGAACCACCCTCCTTGGGCCATGAGTGGTTATAGATCAAGCTGCTCAGATCAGATTAATTTTCTCCTATGTGTGTGTGTTTGTGTTAAGTCACTTCAGTTGTGTCTGACTCCTATCCTGTAGGCCACCAGGATCCTCTGTCCAAGGAATTTTCCAGGCAAGAACACTGGAATGGTTTGCCATGCCTCCTCCAGGAGATCTTCCTGACTCAGGGATTGAACCTGCTTCACTTTACATCTCCTGTAATTTTCTCCTAAGCAAAGTTTAAGTGGTATGCAGAAATTCCAGTTCATAAGCTTCTGAGAGAATAATAAAGTTGAGGCTCCTTTTAGCTATAGCCACTTTCTGCCCTGTATGTAAAGAAATATAAAAAATATAAGGGAGAGATAAAATGAAGGTAGAAAAGCTAACAAGCTCAAATCACCCCTGAGACAACGTGACCAAGAAAAGCCTCCTTGGTTTGGCAACATTCCAACCTCAGTTACATCTCCTTGATGCCCAGGATAAATCAGAAATAAACATATCTCTTTTCCAAGGAAAGAAACAGTTATATCTATATGATGTGAAAAACCATACAAATTTAATATCCCAAGATAAAAATAACTGAGAGTAAACTAACAATTCAAAAATGAAAATGTACAAAACACAACAAGTTTCATATGTGTTATATGAAGAAGTAGAAGATGTCTTTCTTGTGCTTTCCCAAATGATTTGACCTCTCTGTGTGGTCTGATACTGAAGTAGGCAAGTTCTATGTGGATAGAACTTATGGATCATAATTTGTTTGTTCAGTCCAGTTCAGTTCAGTTCAGTCGCTCAGTTGTGTCCAACTCTTTGCGACCCCATGAATTGCAGCATGCCAGGCCTCCCTGTCTATCACCAACTCCTGAAGTTTACTCAAACTCATGTCCATTGAGTCGGTGATGCCATTCAGCCATCTCATTCTCTGTTGTACACTTTTCCTCCTGCCCCCAATCCCTTCCAACATCAGGGGCTTTTCCAATGAGTCAACTCTTCGCATGAGGTGGCCAAAGTATTGGAGTTTCAGCTTCAGCATCAGTCCTTCCAATGAACACCCAGGACTGATCCCCTTTAGGATGGACTGGTTGGATCTCCTTGCAGTCCAAGGGACTCTCAAGTGTCTTCTCCAACACCACAGTTCAAAAACATCCATTCTTTGGCACTCAGCTTCCTTCACAGTCCAACTCTCACATCCATACATGACCACTGGAAAAACCATAGCCTTGACTAGACGGACCTTTGTTGGCAAAGTAATGTCTCTGCTTTTTAATATGCTATCTAAGTCGGTCATAACTTTCCTTCCAAGGAGTAAGTGTCTTTTAATATCATGGCTGCAATTACCATCTGCAATGATTTATTACTCTTGGTCTTAATGTTTGATTTTTTAATAAATCCAACACTTCTAGTTTCGGGCTTTGTCCAACACACAAAAGCCTTTGGACACCATACTCCATAAAGCTGAGCAGGTTAGGAAAATTCATTCTCTTATTCTGAACAAATTTCTTTATGTGATTTAAGCCTGAGGGCACTATATTTTATTTCACTGTACTGTGACTTTGCCACTATAATTTAAGATACTAATCATCAGAGACTTAATTTGCCTTATCATCAGAGACAACTGCCTTGTTCACTTATTATTTTCTCAAAGGTATGTGAATACATTTAAAAAATGCACTTAAGAAAATGAGTGAGTTATGAAATGACAAAATATGATTAAAATATGAAACAAAAAGGGTGATTTCATATAATCGTATTAAAGAAAACTGAATGGAACAGCAAAAGTTGACTGAAACATGATTTATAACAGGAGTAATTAAACATTTATGACATGAATTAATAATTTAGAAAAGACCTTGACTCTAGGAAACATAACATATAATGACCCAAAAATTTCTGGCAGATAGTAGATGCTTTGTTATAGTGTGTTATGATTAGGAATTGGCAACCCACCAAAGTATGCTTGCCTGGAAAATCCCATGGATGGAGGAGCCTGGTAGGCTACAGTCCACGGGGTCACAAAGAGTCGGACAGGACTGAGCGACTTCACTTTCACTTTCACTTTCACTTTAGGTATGAACACTATCCTTCCTAATGGTTGTATTCAATTTGGTTGGAAAAGGTTGGATTGCTCAATAAAAGCTGGAATAAATGGCCATCTATCTAGAAGGAAATTAAGTAGTTCCTTCTTTAACACATCTTTCTTTTTTTTCATTTATTTTTATTAGTTGGAGGCTAATTACTTCACAATATTGTAGTGGGTTTTGTCATACATTGACATGAATCAGCCATGGATTTACACGTAATCCCCATCCCGATCCTCCCTCCCACCTCCCTCTCTACCCAAACCCTCTGGGTCTTCTTAATGCACCAGGCCCAAGCACTTGTCTCATGCATCCAACCTGGGCTGGTGATCTGTTTCACTATAGATAATATACATGTTTCGATGCTGTTCTCTCAAAACATCCCACCCTCGCCTTCTCCCACAGAGTCCAAAAGTCTGTTTGGTACATCTGTGTCTCTTTTTCTGTTTTGCATATAGGGTTATCATTACCATCTTTCTAAATTCCATATATATGCGTTGGCACCTCTTTTAAAAAGGCACTAAAGACCCCAGTGTAAAAGTGAGCAATCCACTTTAGGCGTATATATAAAAATCCACATTGGAACTACATTTTTACTGATACTAGAAACACAGTTTTAAACTCAGAATTCCTCAATATCTGTGCTATTGGACATTTTCTGCCTGTTCCTTCTCTGGGGTGGGGGGTCTGTTCTGTAAATTGCAGGATGTTTAGAAACATCCTTGCCCACCACTTACTCCTCATCAGTGTGACAGCAAATAATGTCTAGAAATATTGCTGAAAAAACCCTGGAGGACAAAATTATCCTTGGTTGAAAAGCACAGAATTAAATTAAGGCTCTCAAAATATTTTTGTAGCAGTGATACAATAGTCATTTATGGATAAATAATGTAATAGACCACCAAATGTTTGAGTCACACAACCACGCCATGTGATATTATATAGATATTAAAATAATGAACCAACACTATACTGGTTGATTGGAAGCAAGCCCCTGAGGTATTATTGAGAGTGAAACAAGTGA